CCTAATACACACACCTCAACCGAACACCAACGTCTGTCTAGGACATGCTGTGAGCTATCAACAGCAAGGGATATAAGGTCACACACACACCACGAAAAGCCTATAAGTACTAAGTAGTTGCCTCTGTCCTCTTCTCACATTCGTAAGGCGCACCTGGTAATGAATTCAGATAGTAGCGAAGTATCTCTGCTCGGTCCTCAGCATTCGGCAAGGCAAGATCAAAGTGAAGGTCCAGTCGTCCAGGTCGATTGATGGCGCTGTCAAGCATCTCCGGCCGAGTGGTGGTACCCACTACGAACACACGGCGATTTGTGTCTGGATGTGACGGGTTAATAGTATATATATACATGTGTATGCAAAGACGCATAGTACCTCTGTCTGTGTTTACACACGAGAACGCACACTTACGAGAAAGATAGGCAATCAGACGACTTTCATGCACAAGCCAATGTGTATGTAGATATTTTCTGTAAAAAAGAGGGATCGACTGTATAACAATTGCAAATGCCTTAGCAAACTCCGGTGATTACCATCTAATATATATATAGATATGTATATATCTATATATATACATATACATATATATAATATATATACACGTGTGTGTGTGTGTGTGTTGGTATATATATATATATATATATAATCCAATACATGGACTAGCATACCTGCCGATTTTGTGAGACCACTCCCTGGCCCTCCCACGCCGTCTAATTCGGTCAAGAGCGTCGTCAGCAGCCGATCAGAACCCTGGCGAAATATGCACAGATAGATAGTTTAAAGTTCCGTCTTTTCTGGATAGCCGGCAAAGTTTTGAACGAGATACAGTACGACCGTTGCAAAGGCGGGTATCGGATTGAATGTGCAGACGTACCTACGCGTAGTGGTACGCAAGCCAAGAACACCGAACTGATACACAAATGAAAAGTTTTTGTGTTTACCATCAAACCCCCGACACAATATTGCTATAGAGTAATACAGCACAACTATGGTAAGGGTAGGGAATCGGAAAGGCACGTAGAAACCGTAGCAATAAATGCGTTTTGCAATCCATCTGTAGATCAGAGCTTCAATAATTAATATCCTGACACCTATCGATGCAGATAGTACCAAGCACACATGTACTACAACCCCACCATTGCTACAACGCACGACTACAGTCGATATATACATATGCACACACCACCAGCAGTTCTCACACAATGCTCAGTCTACACACACATGTGGACACACACTGTGTAGGGATCACCGAAGGCGCAGTAAACTTCTCCACATGTTACAGCGATGATACTGATGATAGGCAGAGTCAGACCAACGACAATTATCCAGCTCTCATATACTGGTGTGTTGCATACACCTGAGGGTATGAGGTTAACACAAGTATCACTGCAATCCTTTCGAACATTTGGCAACCCTAAACTTGTTTCTTAACAAAATTGGGATTGTGCTTAGCTTTCGCTAGCGTACAATACCCTCAATGCCTATCGATCGATCGATGAGAATTCATGCGATGCGTTCCATAAACCACGACAAAGCGGTTTTTAACAGACTTATGTGCCCTGGTCGGTATTTCAAACGTACATATATACCTACATATGTACATTTAGTGCTGTAAATTGCTACCCGACTCTGATTCAGTACGGTTATCAGACACCCCCAAACACACCTGATCATTCGGAGACCTCGCACTCGCAACGATGTCTATTTGTTCAAACAGCAGCATGCATGGCGCGGCTTCGCGAGCACTCTCAAAGATACGAGCCAATGCCTTCTCACTCTCACCGACCACACGCGTTCGAAGTTCACTACCTACATCAAACCGAAACATTCGAAAGATTAAACAACAAAGTAAGAATCAGAAACTGTGTACACAGAATACGTGATTGACCGATGCATGCAACAGTGCACACCGACAGATAGGGGCCAGGGACTAAGTATACTGCTTATGTGGTGGTCATACATACAGAAGATGGGATCAAGGGATAGGCGAGGCACGCTCAACCAACATTCGGTATAACCCGATGCTGGGATGATCAAATCAGAAGACACAAGACTGGGTCGTAATCAGTACTTACAATACACAGATGCATCCATGGAATCTACCCGGAGATAGGGAACACAAATCTGACACTAATCACGAAATGCAGGATTGTGAATGGGCGGACGTGAACATGCGGATATGCTGGGCACTTGCTGCTTCACCCTTGCAAGCGGAGATACCAGCGCACAGTTCGGTACTTTGTCGCTCCTGTGTTTTGCGGCACATCGACAGACAACTGAGAGTAGCGTCTGATTTGTACCCGGTTAGACATGGGTTGGAATGCTACCCACCACGCACACGCATGACATAGGACACACTTTGTGGGACAACCCGAGTACACGAACACCCACGCGAGCGCTGTACGCAAGCCATAGCCACCACTAGTGGACCGGCAAACTTGACCACTCTCTCCATACCACCAAGATCACTTCAAATATGTGCATGTACACGTGCATGCATTCATCCCACGCAACATACCGTTGATAACAATGACCTTGAGTTTCGCCTCGTATGCAATCGCCTTGGCCAACACAGTCTTACCCGTGCCATGGGGCCCTGCGAGCAACATGCCGGCAGGAGGGGGTATACCCATAGCCGCACATAGGTCCGCGTGTAGTAGAGGCATTAGCACACTGTCACGGAGAGTGGCAATAGTATCTCGCATCCCCCGTAACCGGTCAAATCCAAGACCTTTGCCGGGTTTGCTTGCGGAGGAAGCCTTGTCGGGGTTGCTACCATCTGGTGCGTGGTTGGGGTTGTTGTCCTCGGTCAGCATGACACCCTTGAACTCCACGAGCGATGAAGGTGACACCTCAAGTAGCGCGTATTCGATATCGGATTTGTGCACACAGATGGCATTAACATCCAAGTCTGAGCCCGTTCTTTGCTCACTGACAGCGTGCTGAGACATACTATCGACTGTAACCTCAGCTACAACCCCTACGTGGGATACTGCACTCGTTTCCGAATCCGTATCTGTGCGTAAGAGTGTGAGTGCGAGTTGTTCTCGGATGGCGTGCAGCGCTGCCTCTGTACACAGTCGCTGCAGATCGGCCATACTGAACCCATGGCATATCTGCGCCACTTCGGGTAGGTAAGCGGTTGCTTCCGGGTGCAAAGGAATACTCGCGCACAAGCCCTTCCCGGGACATATACCTGTACCCTCGTTTGTACCTACACTGGGCTCTATATCTGACACTCCGGCTGAGTGCAGGGTGTGCTTGGTATTCGTGAGCTTATAGAGTACCCCTAAACGTGCACTACTGGTGGGATGACTCATCTTCAAGTGTACATCGAATCGCCCGGCACTCCGCGCGGCTACGTCCATCGTATGCAGTCGACACGTGATACCTATAACCTGTTGGCAACAAAGAGAACTGGCAAATTGGTACTTTTGAAGGACTATATAGGAGAGTACATACCAAGCAAGTGATATAGTGGAATGCATCATTATTAACTAGAATTGACAGGCGAAACAACGGCAGCGGATAGCAAGTTTCGTCGCACATCCCAACTATGAATTAAGAGGACAATGTTAAGGCTAAGGTCGCAAACTGTGAGTAGGCATCTTTTAAAGCGCATCATATTATCGAGACATGCACAGCTCACAGATATCCCACACCCCAGCTACCCGTTGATACTGATAAAACCATACCGTAAATCCACCCTTGCAATTGGCATTCTGGAGACATTCCAAAAACACCGCAGTCAGGCGACGTATCGGAACAGAGCCGCTGCCACTGTTAGCCACAGCCGTTCCCGAGGGACACAACGCGTCTACATCGTCTGAAAACCGTAAGAAATCGCATTAGAAACAATGGTGTGAGTGCAAGAAAAAGATTTAGACATAAATTCGAAAACGATCTTTCTTTAAAGTATACGACATGGCTGTTCATGAGATACCTGGCAGTACCGTGCCGCTCACTTAATCAAATGTTGTTCGCATCTAATGTGTACAATGCGTACTGATCACTATATATATATGTATAT